CTAACATACGGCTCGAAGTCCCTGAAAAAAACCAACAAGCCCAACTCAACTACCTCCCACCGCACTCGCAAGATTCTCACCTGCATATCTTCCCAAGCTTCGAGTAATCCGTAGCATCCCTATTAAAAAGAGTCTCCCTACTATTAAATACCTTTGCTTCACTGACCGCATTCTCAAGCCGACCCTGTAGGTCCTCTAGAAGTGCTGAGACCTTCTCCACTTCGGAGAGTTCATCATGTGCTGAAAATGCCGCAACTTCTTCCTCAAGACTCTCAATCACCTTCTCGAATGCTTCTTGTCCCGACATCTGCTTCTTGAGGAACTTCTCTCGATATACCACAAGTTTCTCAGATAATTTCGTGGCGAGCGACATAATTTCCCTAGGTCGGCCGTACATTTTCCACCGCTCATGTAAGGCATTTTCATCAAGTTCATAAACCGTCCCAAAAGTCTCCAACGCCTCATACATCTCAACACACTCCTCAATTTCCTTCTGCACTTTACCAACCTCAACCGGTAAGTGGGTCAAAAATTCCGATATTTCCGACACAGTTTCAATATCCGGAATTTTACACTCAAGCCTTTCCTTAAAACGTTCAAACTTCGGCAGCACTTCAGAATTCATCCTCTCCTCTAATCGCTCCGCCTCAATCCTCAATATCCCCTCCGCCACCTCAAAAAGCCTCGCAGCCAGATCCCGCGCGATGTCCCCGAATTCAATTTTAAACATACCACACCTCACTGAACGTCCCGGTATTCTCACCAAGACTTCCTCTCTTCGACGTAGCTTCTCACTGACAACTCTCTTGACCTCCTCAGCGGTCAGCACCTCCTCGCCCCTCCCATACGCCTCTAGTTCAGCTTCTACATCTATCGCTAAGACGTCCTCAAGATCTCGAAACGAACTGATATACTCCTCAAGCCACTCCTCATGCGCCATAATACTCTTCCTAACTCTACTACGACGCTCAAGCACCCATACATCAGCGTCGTTGAAGCCTTTGAATAGCCTCCCATTTCCCATCATTTTCGAAAGTAATAGCCTTTCCAAACTCGGCAAATTATCTACTATCGCCAAGCTCCTGTCAAAAATCACATCAGCCGCCTCAGCAAACTCCCTAGGGGTCCTCGTGAATGCAAAACAAGGCACATATTCTACTTCCCTTTGGCGTTCCGAACTCTCTTCCTCCTCACAGAACGTAATTCCTTCACCAACTCTCTCTGAG